ACCTTAGGAATCTACAGGATAAGCACTCCATTCATGAGAAACCTCAGGTCTTTCAGCAAGGCCTAGGCTTGACTTGAGCCCAGAAAAACCTTCATCCCCATTGACATTTACCCGGCCCTCGTTCATGGTCAGCCTAAGTCTGAAACGACTTGAAAGCACACAACAACAACAACAACAACAATCCTATCTCATCAGCCAAAAGCAGGCCCACATTTCCCATTGAAATACTAATAAGTTTATATTTGTTAAAGTTGTTCTTCATTTTAATTGTTGTATTGTTTTTAAGTGTTTTTTGCTCTCCAAATAAGATATGTACAGTACGCATAGCAATTCACTCAGAGTTTTTTCAAATTATAATCTGGCCCTCCAACAGTTTGAGGGAGTGCGACCTGGCCCTCTGTTTAAAAAGTTTGAGGACCCCTGGTCTAAATGATGGGGGGTTGCATAAACCAAAGGAATAATCTAAGAAGGAGAAGCAGAAAAGGCATGATCAACATTGAAACAGATGGAGAGTAGGCAGTTCTATTGTGTTGTGTCATGTCTGAAGATCTAAGTCAGTGGCTCCTAACCTTTTTTTGACCAGGGACCACTTGAACAGAGGCACTTGAACAGGGACCACTCTCCAACATTAGTACCAAATACATAACGAATCAGTTTTTGGTCAACTTTAGATTCAGTTTGGTTATTTGGGGTGCTGATTCAGGAAATTGCATTGGATAGACCACATCAGCTATAGTTTCTGATACAAAACATATGCCATCCAGTAGTCACCATCTACTCTCCCACAGAAAGCTATATTTAATAATCTAGAACTGATGTGGTAGTAGTAATCTTTTGCGGATACTCCACCCCTCCCCTCCCAACATCCCTGTTGCCTCAGCCCTATAAGAGGGTTTTACAAGACCAGTCACTCTCGTTGCTATGTGGTTTCAAGGCAACAGTGTAGTAATGGTTGGTAGTGGCCGCAGACCATATTTTTGTACTTCTGGACCACTGGTAGTCAACGGATCACAGGTTGGGAACCACTGATCTGAGTGGTAGCTGGCCTTGAGAGACAGAAGGAAGGAATGATTTCAGTTTTGGGATAGAAACTAGGAAGAACTGTTTGTACTTATATGATCAACTCTAAGGTCTGGACAGTCCTAGGCTCAGTTATATTTTCAAGTTAAATTGTGTTCTGTTTACCAAAAGATTAATAAGAGACATTTCGTATCTGTTCTGTGTGTAATTCTGTTTCCCATATTAAAAATGTTTTCTTGCAATGCATGCATGCACTCATGTCATGCATGAAATACAGTTCCTAATGGTCGGAACCCAGATGCCTTAAAGAGCCAGACTCAGGAGTATGTTAGGCCCACTCCTCTTCCCTCTTCCAGCACCCCTACTACCAGTTGCAGCGTTGCTATCAGACTCTACTACAACACTAACAGTACAGCAGAATTACTTACAAATTCCTCCCTCCCCAATGTTTTTAGGAACAAAAGTTTTAGATATAAAATACAACCACATCAAATGCTTGCAATAAACAATAGGGAAAATATAATTCTAATAGAGAAGATACTCGCAAAATAAATGATGTTTTGGTTAGTCTAGTCATAGATTTCAAGCAGCCAATGAAAGGTTTTGTGCATGTGCCATGTATAAAGCAGTTGGCTTTAGCAGTTGCATCTGCTGAATGCTAATGAAACATGCTCAGAAAATTGGAGATTCTATTTTTGTATTTCTAGCTAAAGAAAATCTTGGAGAAATGCCACTTTATTTGTAATGTAGTCTAGTATTTAAAACTAAATACAAAATTCATATTCTAAACCACTAACCTTGAACTTTGGTAATAACATAAACTTGAAGAGAGGAATGGAAATAGAAATGTGATCAGGGATTATCACTGACATAATACAAAATGATGAGCAGGCTATACCATCAATTTATACTATTACTGGGAAGCAAGGTACCATTGTGAAATTGCTGCTGTGCTTCTGAGAGAGTATGTCGTGGTCCACAAAAGTTCATGATGTAATAAACATGTTGGTCTTAAAGGTGTCATAACCTTTTGTTGTTTACACATGGGTTGTTTATGGCAAGCCAAGGGATTACTGTGGTTTTAATCTACTTCAAGGAAAAATGCTAAAGTAATACTTCCAAATGATAAGAACTTCAAGGAATAATAAAACTCTGTGTCAAATAAAGGAGATGAGGCTAGTAAAAACTAAGTATAGTTTGGTACAGTCTTTGTTACTTAACATTGACCTTTGATTTTCAAATATTCTAGTCTTTTGTTGTTTATTCTATCAAATTTGTCTTTTGTTTGCAACTGCATTTTATTGTGTTTATGATTTAATTTTGAATTGTCTTAAACAGTAATTCAGTTGAGGTTTCATTCAGAAACATTTTAAATTAGTAAATAAATGATAGCCAGTATAGAATCTTATTTTTGGAATATCAGCAAGGGGAAAGCCTGTTAAAGTGAATTGTGTATTTTGGAGTGAGGAATATGAGGTTGTGGTCTTTTGTATTTGGCCACATATCTTTCATCTGATTTCCTGAAACAGGACTGGGTCTGGTATTTGGATGGGAAATCACCAAGGGCCTTGTAAAGAACATCTTCTGAAACTACAATGAGCTGCCTCCAGTTTAAATTCATAACATTGGATTATGCGGACCAATAGCTGACAACCACTATCTGCTTGCACACACACACAGGCAAGGCATATAGTTACTTCTGCAAGTGTGGTTGTCTATGTCGCCAGTTTCTATACCATTCAGCCGTCCCAATGTGGCAGTGACAGTCCGAATTAATCATCTGTCAACTCATTGTTTCAGTAGCCCAGTTTCTGTCTCCACTTCATACTTTTCCCCTTTGTCATCAGCTCATTTCAGTTGCTGAAAATTGAAATCAGCTTGAGTCCACTTGCATCATTAGCCACAGTGCTACTCATAGTTGTCCTTTGGTGCGCTCCAGTAGCTTGCTGAATGCCATCCGACCTGGGAGTTTCCTCTTTTGGCACTAGCTCTTGATTCATTTTGGATTGTCTCTTTATAGGGTTTAGAGGGTAAAAGACACATACAAAGGGGGTTTACTTTGCCTCCTGTGAAGTACTAAGCATTAGCTATGGGTTCAACTGCCCTTGTCCCTGCCCTTGTTCTTAAACTGTTGACCGTAGACCACCAGTGGGCTGCGAGGATGAAAATCTGGTCTGCGAGCCTCCTTCCTCTATTTATTTTATCTTATTTCCACTCCTTTCACACCACCTGCCACTCCTTCCCTGGCACTGACCATGGCATATGTTCTGTATCAGAAACTAGAGCTGATGTGGTCTATCCAATACAATTTTCTAAATCAGCACCCCAAACTGAATCTAAAGTTGACCAAAAACCGATTAGTAACTCTTTTGGTACTATTGTTGGAGAGTGATCCCTGGTCAAGTAGTTCCTGGTCAAAGTGGTCCCCCGTCAAGTGGTGCCTGGTCAAAAAGAGGTTGGGAACCACTGCTCTAAGGGATCTTCCACCACTGTCCCCTCCCATTGCTGCTGCCGCCCAATAGTTGTTTGACACATTCAGTTTTGCTCCTCAGCAAAAGCCTATCTAACATCAAGACCTCACCAGCAGCATTGCTGTATTCACATAACCTCTTGCCTTACAGTCACATGCAATCCCACCACTGTGGCCATTGGTAAACTTAAAGCTCTTAGAACTCTTACACACATTATCCTTAGACCTGCCTCTACCCAAATAACCCTTTTCTTCCTGTGTCTGTGAAGTATCTATAACTGCAATAGAAATGGCACCGAGGAGGAGGGCAGAAAAGAGGAGCCTTATTTTTCTTCCTTTTCCACCATGTTGATGTACTAGGTGGCAGCACACCAGAGTACAATGTCTAGGACACTATGCTAGACATTATTTCTTTGAGAGCTTCTATACTTTGTGGCGATCGATTTCAGGTAATAAAAGTCGATGGTCTCGTGAGTTGTTCAGAACTACTGTGATTCTTTGAATCTTGACCATAGCTCAGAAATTCTATATGTATTTCTTCCATTCTTGCATGCTTACAAACAGACATTTGTGATAAAACAGGGTATAATTGTTTGCTAGGCTACATTACTTGGATGGCAAGTGTTCTGAGGTGTATTTCTATCATCCTTGTTGAGAAGCAGAGCTAGGAATTTCCTGCTCTAAGGCCCCAAAAATTGCCTCAAGCCATAGTAGACTTTAATAGGTTTGATAGGACTAATGGTCTGATTGGGTATAAAGTAGGTCCTTGGTTCCCATTTGAGTTATCTGTATTATAGCATAATAGAACAAAAAGACTTCAGTTTCCATTATTATATACCATATGAATATCAATAAATCAATCCATTCACTTAGAACTTCCCAGTGCTAATATAAAATTTAAAACCAGGTCCTTTTTTTGTTGCAGATCCAGCCTTGTATTTAAAGTGATATGTTATGAAAAAGATGTGTGCTTAGATATAGAGTTGTCAAGAAAACGGAGTGGGAAAGCACGTTAAATATTTACAGCTTCATTTATTATTCTTTAGGCCTGTTTTTGGAGCCTTGCCTACAAATATTAAAGTATTGCACTGAAATGAAAGCCAAAAAGACATTTTAGAATTCAGACAAGAATTTCTCCATATGAAAAGAACTCTGTGTATTATGTATTGATAACAATACTGCTATAGACAAAGGAATGCAATTTAATAATGCAGAATTGTGCTCACGAGATTTCCTTTTTCTTGTTAATTGGTTACTTTAGCGGACATTGTCTGTAAGTATAATGGGCGCCATTCTTCCTAATAGTTCCATGTTGCCAGATGATGTCTACAGACATGATGTAGTCCATTTTAATTATTTCATTTTGCTTACATCTCTCAGCATAATGCAGCTTCCAAACAGGCAAGCATTTTTCTTCATTATGCATGCTGTATGGCTATGGCTCCTAAATTAATTAGCTCTCTTTTCTTTCCTGGAAGTTAAAAGTTTCTTTCTTCAATTTATCTACCAGGTACGATTATGTTGAAGTGATTGATGGAGACAACGCAAATGGGCGAGTATGGGGAAAGTTTTGTGGCAAGATTGCCCCCCCTCCTGTGATATCTACAGGACCGTACCTCTTAATCAAGTTTGTCTCTGATTACGAAACGCACGGAGCAGGCTTTTCCATTCGCTATGAGATTTTTAAAAGAGGTAAGTAACCTTGCTGGTGGTGTTTCTGCCATGCTAATTATTTTTTGATATAAAATAATTAACAATTATGATTGTTCAATCGGAAGAGGCATACTCTCTGGGAAAAAGGGGGAATTCAAAAACACTTTAGGGCAGATTGATGGGTGGAGTTTGTGCGACACCTGGGATACACTGTGTAGAGCTCAGGGAACACTCTTCAGCGGCTTGCTGTCTTTCTGCCAGTCTTAATAAATGTTTTGTTTGGCGAGACAAGGATTATGGAGATTGGCATCATTTATTGCAGTCTTGTCCAAGCTGATGGCTCCAGATGTGTTATTGGACTACATCCCCCATCACCACACATTGTGATAGATTACAGCCCCTGCCATCAGCCAGTTCACAATGGCAGCTGTAGTCCAGTGCATCTGGAGGGCACCAGTTTGGGAATCTATTGTTCAAGACTAATTATAGGCTATATTGTTTGCCAGTTGTGTTTGGTATTCAGAGGTATGCCGCCTTGTTGTGTATGTAGAAACCATGGATAGAAATATTCCGTATGCATTTCTCTTATTTCGATTTCAGATGTTTTTTTTCTGACAATTGTCCATGCATGAGCTGAAATAAAGAATTCAAATATTCTTTTCTAATCAGGAAAAAAATACGAGTATGTTTAGGAACAGAACGAGCGATGTTGTGGTTTAAGTCTAGTATTGGTAAAATTAGTTCCTCTGCTGCTGATGAGACATGATAAATCCATGTTTTTTCTTGTTCCAGGTGTTTGTTTCAGAATAGAGTTCACTTAGTGTCTTTTCAACGTACCTCTTCATACGTCCCTATTCCCTGTGCCATTTCGCCCGTAGTTGTTGGCAAAAAGGTGTGTGGGGTACCTCATTGTGCCCTGCTCGCATTCCCTTCTTTCCCCATCACATTGGGGGAATGGAACAAGGCACAGCTTGTCTCTGTCCCCATCAGATGGGGGGAAAGGTGGCAACACATGTAGCTGCTTTGCCTTGTCCTCCATCAGATGAGTAAATGAGGTAAAAAATGTGGATAGCTCCAACAAAGCTACCCAAAGAACACTTTCCCAAGAGTAGTGGCTGAAGAAGTGTCTTGCAATGCTTACTCAGCACTTCATCCATCTATGGGATGGGGCCTGCTGAGTGTCATGTGATGGCACTCAGCAGCCTCTGTCCCCAAGGTGTTGCAAAGGGGCAATTTGCCTCAGTGTGATGAGGTTGTAACTGTTGGTTTTCTTTCATGGTAGCCTTTATTTGCTGAATAATTGATAACACAGCATATTATTTGAGAACACAGAAATGCTGGACCACTCTAACAACCACCATGTCAGACTACACAGAGAAGCCATTGAAATCCACAAGCATGGGGACAATTTCAACAGAAAGGAGGAAACCATGAAAATGAACAAAATCAGGCTACCAGTATTTTTTTTAAAAAAAACCTCTAAAATCAGAACAGTAAAGAAAGAACATCACTCAAAAGCAAGGGAATTTCAAATAAAATAAGGGCCAGCTGATCACTTCCCAACAAAGGATTCCCCAGGCAAGAAGCAACCAAGCCTTGAAGCTGCAATGCTTTTCAATGCTAATCAAGGTGATCAATTGCAGCATTCACACGTGCCTCAAGCAGACAAGAGTTCTTTCTCCCACCCTGGACATTCCACAAATATATAAACCCCACTTGCCTTGTTTCCAACAAACCTCACAACCTCTGAGGATGCCTGCCATAGATGTGGGTGAAACATCAGGAGAGAATGCTTCTGGAACATGGCCATACAGCCCAAAAAACTCACAGCAGCCCAGTGATTTATAACACTTCAATTTTTATTGATGTGATAACTCCTGTAGTTTAGGATTCATGGTGTCTGCTCTAGAAATTATGAATTATGGAACCCACCCTTACAGCCAGATTCTAAAGTTGTACTCTCCATGCATGTGTGCAAGTTTTTATCTGTGAATTGATCACTACCTAGAACACTTTTCATAGAAAATAGTAGTATACATGTTGTTACCTGCATGTCACTGGCTATCTTGTTCATATCCTTGTTTTTATTATTTGTGCTATATTGTTCATGTGGTCTTAAGATTTGTATAGCCTGCCTTGGGAATGTTTCACCTAAACAGCAGCTTATCATGTATGTCTTTTAAATTAACCAACCAGGAAGATTTTGGGTTGCTGTAAGTTTTTGGGCTGTATTGCCATGTTCCAGAAGCATTCTCTCCTGACATTTCCTTGTAAGACCTCTGAGGATGCCTGCCATAGATGCAGACAAAATGTCAGTAGAGAATGATTCTGGTACATGGCAAAACAGCCCCAAAACTTACAGTAACCCAGTGATTCTGACCATGAAAGCCTTTGACAATACAAGAAAGAGTTTCAGAGTAATTTTAAGGATTCCTTCTCAAGAGACCAAAGAAGAGCAGTAGTTGCAGTGGGTGTCAAGCTTGCCTGTTGTCTTTAAGTGAAGGAAGATAAATGTAGGCATTTCAGGAAACAGAACACAACATTGAAGGAGGCAAGAAGGTTTCCTCCTATTAGAAAGACTGGCAAATGGTTGTACCCTGTGGTCAAATCCTTTGTAGAATAAATGGCCCAAAGTAGTAGTGAGATCACTTTTTGGCACAATCCTTAGCTGTCCTTGGTTTCAGACTAATGAATTGCGCATTCAGTAACTATGAAGGCCCTTAACCCAAACTAGATAATTAATGAATAAAGTAAACCCCCAGGGTGTTAACTTTTATAGGAACAGAAGTTTTCCTTCCACAACAAAAGCATTTCAGATTCTTGGGGGCTGCAGTTTCAGTGCCTTACCAATTAAGCAATACACGTTTAATGGCTGGTATGCAGTGAGCAAACTCCTTAAAGAACTTCTAGATGAGCTATTAGCAAAAGCAAGCATTTTCAAAAGGCCCCCCTTTTCCTTGATATTTCAGTGATCTCTGCAAATCCCCAAATTTATTTTCTCGCACGATCCCTTAAATCTTCCTCTGAAAGGCATTAGTTACATTAAGGCAATATTATAAATGAGAACTTTCACACACAAAAGTCAGAACATTCAAAGTTATAGCTCCCAAAGTAATTCTAACTCAGGTTTATGTCACAGTAAATCAAAGTGGAAATGATATTGCCATGTTCAGGAATGGAAAGGATTACATATACGTGTGTGGTTCAAGAGTTACAGTTGCTGTGAAATCACAGAATTTGCATTTCTTGTTTTCTCAGCATTATGTTTTTTTTCTAATTAACATTAAATTAATGTATCTACTGAAAGCAGTACGTGCACAGTTCTTCTTAAAAGCTATTTACATAGTTAGGAGCCCCCAGTGGTGCAATGTGTTAAACTCTTGTGCCAGCAGGACTGAAGACCGACAGGTCGAAGGTTCGAATCCAGGGAGAGCATGGATGAGCTCCCTTTGTCAGCTCTAGCTTCCCATGCGGGGACATGAGAGAAGCCTCCCACAAGGATGGTAAAACATCAAAACATCTGGACATCCACTGAGCAATGTCTTTGCAGATGGCCAATTCTCTCACACCAGAAGCGACTTACAGTTTCTCAAGTCTCTCCTGACATGAAAAAAAAGTTACATAATTTAACACCATATGCATTTACTCAGAAAAAGTCCCTTTGAGATCAGTGACATTTCTCAGCCAAAGACTTGTGAAATTGGCCACTAAATATTTCACATAATATGGGTGATAAGACAACAAATGCCTTGTTTTCTGTGTGGCCAGACCTTCTCCAAGGATGTGGAATCCGTGGGCTTGATCTTTCGATGATCTGTAATGCCATCCAGGTAGTGATCAATTCACAGATAAAAACTTGCACATATATCTACAGTGTTTTGCTTTTGCCTGGGTCAATAGGCAAGGACAGGATTCTACTTCTGTCATTTCCTCCCACTGACTTAATTGACTGCAAACTACTTTTGCACTTTGAATTCAGTTTTGCAGCAATGGAAGTAAACCAAGGGCAAAGGAGGAACATGGAAGAAGGAAAAAAGAAACTGGGGCATTTAAAAGTAGCTGAAAATATGGACTAGCAGAGAAATAATCGGGATGATTCTTGCCAAAGAGAGCTGAGAGTTTAAGCATTGCACTACAATGGTCCTACTAGTGCCATGAAATCCACCAGCTCCCATCTCATGATGTGAAACTACTTCTGGTGGGGCTCCGTGGCATGAGTATTAACATTGTACGCGGCCACTGCTGCAACACAGGAGGCTTCCGTGTTGCATAGCCAACAACTGGGGAAAGCTGGGCGGTGGATGCTTTCCCCATGGGATGGAGTAAAGGAAAAGCCAGGCAATGCAGGATATGGGGGATGGATTCACCTTGCCCCACACAGGATTCACGACAATGCTTGGCAAATCCCATAGGTAAAGTCTCTGGAGATCAGTCTCAGCCATGGAGATTCACTGGGTGACTTTAGGCAAGTCACACACAGACACAGCCTCGGTAGGAGACATTGACCCCTCTTGTCAATATCCCCAAGAAACCCTGTGATCTTGAGGTTTGAGGATTGCTATGTTAGAAATGACTTGATGGCACACACCAAGCCCTTCCAATAGGAACTATCAGAGAGTATGTCACAAAGAGATACTGTAGTTCAGTGGCCAGGCCAGGTAATCTAAGGAGGCAATAAAGGCAGTAAAGTGTTTTTAAAGGATTGTTACTATGTTGAGAAAGGCAGGACCACAACCAGTGTCTTCATCCCTGTGTTTGAAGCTAAATGCTTCATTTCAGTTGCAATTTAACTTCCCAAATCAGAGTTGGCTAAAGCAAGAGAACCTTAGATTATGCATTTTAGCAAAATACAGCTCCTTTGTCATGATCTGGATTTCCTATTTTATGTGTCTCAGAGTCTGTTTAGGAACAGACACAAAGCCATATTTCTCAATCGTCTCCTAAACATTCTTTCTACCTGGATGATGTCCAGATCAAGAAGAGACAATATGTTTTATGTCATTTCAGAAGGAATCCATTTCCTATAGTGTGCAATTATT